GAAAAGAGCTGATGTAGTTCCCATCCTCAAAAAAGGAAAAAAAATGGATCCAGGAAATTACAGACCTATCAGCCTGACCTCAATACCTGGGAAGATCCTGGAAAAGATAATCAAACAACGAATCAACGAACACCTAGAGGCAAACAAAGTCATTACTAAAAGCCAACATGGGTTTGTCAAAAATAGATCATGCCAGACAAATCTTATTGCATTCTTTGACCAAGTGACAAAATTAGTGGATCAGAGGAATGCTGTGGACATAATTTACTTGGACTTCAGTAAGGCATTTGATAAAGTAGATCACAACCTACTACTTGACAAGATAGAAAAATGTGGGGTAGACAGAACCACCACCAGATGGATCCGTAGCTGGCTGACCGGCCGTACTCAGCGAGTGGTCCTCAATGGAACTGCATCTATATGGAGGGAAGTGTGTAGTGGGGTGCCCCAGGGCTCTGTTCTGGGCCCAGTACTCTTCAACATCTTCATCAACGATTTGGATGAAGGGATAGATGGGGAACTCATCAAATTTGCAGACGACACCAAGCTGGCAGGAATAGCCAACACTCCAGAAGACAGGCTTCAGATACAGAAGGATCTGGACAGACTTGAACACTGGGCACTAACTACCAAAATGAAATTCAATGGTGAAAAAAGCAAGGTTCTACATTTAGGCAAGAAAAACCAAATGCACAAGTACAGCATAGGTGGCACCATGCTCAATAGTAGTAACTGTGAGAGGGACCTCGGAGTCCTAGTAGACAATCACCTAAATATGAGCCAGCAGTGTGCTGCAGCTGCCAAAAAGGCCAACACAGTGCTAGGCTGCATTAACAGAGGGATAGAATCAAGATCACGTGAAGTATTAATACCACTCTTCAATGCCTTGGTAAGGCCACACTTGGAATACTGCATCCAGTTTTGGTCACCACGATGTAAAAAAGATGTTGAGACTCTAGAAAGAGTACAGAGAAGAGCAACAAAGATGATTAGGGGACTGGAGGCTAAAACATATAAGGAACGGTTGCTAGAATTGGGTATGTCTAGTTTAACGAAGAGAAGGACAAGGGGGGACATGATAGCAGTATTCCAATATCTCAGGGGCTGCCATAAAGAAGAGGGAATTAAGCTATTTTCCAAAGCACCTGAAGGCAGGACAAGAAGCAACGGGTGGAAACTAATCAAGGAGAGAAGCAACCTAGAACTAAGGAGAAACTTCCTGACAGTGAGAACAATTAATCAGTGGAACAGCTTGCCTCCAGAAGCAGTAAATGCTCCAACACTGGAAGTTTTTAAGAAGAGACTGGACAGCCATTTGTCCGAAATGGTGTAGGGTTTCCTGCCCGAGCAGGGGGTTGGACTAGATGACCTCCAAGGTCCCTTCCAACTTTACTACTATTACTAATCATTACATCTATCTATCTATCTATCTATCCATCCATCTATCCCTCTATCCCTCTATCCCTCTATCCCTCTATCCCTCTATCCATCTATCCATCTATCCATCTATCTATCTATCTATCTATCTATCTATCTATCTATCTATCTATCTATCTATCTATCTATCTATCTATATCAGATCCAGTGGTGGGATTCAGCCGGTTTGCACCACTTCGGCAAAACCGGTAGCTAATTTTTTGTTGCCCAGGCCCAGAATGGACTTCCGGAAGCAGGCTTCTGGTTCCTGCAAGCAGTGCAATCAGCTGAGAGATTCGGGATGCCGAGCTCTTCAGCTGACTTTCTTCCTGTTTGGGGACCCCAAATGGGCCAGAAGTCACCCTGGAGAGGTGGCAGTGAAGGAAGGTGGTCCCAGGGACATAGGAGAGACGGCGGTCTCCCCGATCGGTCCAGGAAAAGCCTCCCAGAAACCAACAGGAGAAAGGCTAGCTAACTCCATTGTCTAGCCCCAGCTGCAAGCAACGGAAGTCAAAAAGTTCTACTTAAACTGATTGTGAACGTGTGTTTGAAGCTGGGTAAGAACTGATTTTCTCTGTCCTATTTATTTTCCTGAAAAAGAGGACTCCCAAGAAGCAAAACTACCTCCGAGAGTGAAAAAGGGAGGGATCCCCCCCCCCCCCGGCTATTAGAAGGGCGAATCTAACTCTTTAAGGAGGAAAAAGACTAGAACAGTGTTTCTCAACCTTGACAATTTTAAGGCATGTGGACTTCAACTCCCAGAATTCCACAGCCAGCATTGCTGGCTGTGGAATTCTGGGAGTTGAAGTCCACATGCCTTACAATTGTCAAGGTTGAGAAACACTGGGCTAGAAAGAACTGAAAAATGATCCAACACTGACACCTACTGGTGGATGAGGACTATAAAACCTCTGCCTGTGGCCTTCAAAGTCTTAATAAACACGGCTGCTTAGATAAAGTGATATTTACGGAAGCAGAGAACCGGTTGTTCACCTATATGAATCCCACCACTGATCTCAGCAGGTTACCCAGCTATGTCTGTCTGCTGGGAGAAAGAGTGCAAAGAAGAGCGACAAAGATGATAAAGCATCTGGAAATTAAATCATACAATGAATGGTTGAGGGAACTGGGAATGTCTAGTTTAATGAAGAAAAGGACGAGGGGGGACATGACAGCAGTCTTCCAGTATCTCAGGGGCTGCCCCAAAGAAGAGGGAGTCAAGCTATTCTCCAAAGCACCTGAGGGCAGGACAAGAAACAAGGGATGGAAACTAACCAAGGAGAGAAGCAACCTGGATCTAAGGAGAAATTTTTTGTCAGCCAGAACAATCCACCAGTGTAACGGTTTCCCCCAGACGTTGTGGGTGCTCCATCACTGGAGGCTTCTAAGAAGAGGCTGGAAAGCCATCTGTCTGGGATAAAATAAGGACTCTTGCCTTGGGCAAAAAGTTGGATTAGAAGACATCTGAGCCGTTCCACTGATAAATTGTTCTTAGTGTCAGATAATTTCTCCTTAGTGCTAGATTGGATCTCTCTTTAATAAGCTTCTAACTATTTCTTCTTCCAATGAGGCAGTTTTGGATTTTATTTCCTTCTTCCAGAGAATTAACTCAATATACTCCCCCCTCTTCATCCAAGCATTCAGAGCTAAACTGAACAGAAGAGGACCCAGAAACCCTTGTGGCACCATCCTTGATCATTCCTGATGGATCCTGGGTGTTCTGAGAATCTGGTTTGCATATTGCTCATGTTTGGTAATGTCATCAGTGCAGGAAGATTGGTCCAAGGATAGGAAGGGTTAGTACACAGCAGCTTCTCCTACCTGCTTGGGGTATTTTTTTATTCCTTGTTCCTTTATCTGTCCTTGTTCCTCCTTAACTAGGGTTGGTTATAGGATTGGGGAGGTGAGGGAGGGGCCCTCTGAGCTGATTAGGGCAGCCAGAAGACCCAACTGAAATTCCTAAATTTCACAAGACAGAGAGAACTTCAACTGCAGTGAGTGATGGAACACGATTTGGATTAAGTAAGCTTGAGATTGCAGAATTCCTAGAGGTTATTGCATATCAATAATCCTCATTGATACTGAACATTAAAATTGCTTGGATTTTACTAGTGTCATAGTTCCAACAGATGAAACCCTTCAAAGAACTTCGAGGCATTGTTTACCTTAAAGAATCTTTATTAGAGAAGCATGACATTGGCACTAACACGGTTGAAGCCAAAAACTGGATTCCCCTCCCCTGAGCACATAGCATCAAAGCACAATTCCCTCCTCTATTAACAGTCACAAATCACATTCTCCAATTAGTTTGAAATGCAGGCTTTCCCTCCAGTTCTCCACCCCGGCCAATTCTTATCATCTCTTATTTCATTAACCTTGGTTCTCACGCTAGGTCCAGAATTGTTATGTCTATCCAAACTCTCATGCATCATCTAACTCTAACTCTAACTCTAAGAGTAAAACATAAGAAGAAAATGGTGGCATCTCTAACTGTTGTCAAAGCAAAAACATCCAATGTTAGCAGGGTTGAGAACTAGATAGCAACTGGGGTGGCAGGGCTGCTCAATTGCAATTCCAGTGTGGGGATGGAGGCTGAGTTGGCCCTGTTGAGTAAACCTGGCAAAGAGGGAACAATTCGATCTTACAGAAATGATCTGCAGGGTCCCTTCCAGTGGATCACATTTCATTTGTATAGAAAAGGAATGTCAAAGAGATCGGTTTCAGGAGATGTGATCAAGATAACGCTTCTGTAAAACACATGTTTTTACAATGTCCTGATAGGAGAGAATATTTGTAGTGTAGGATTGAGGGCATGCTCTTTGGTGCTCCCTGAGCTGGTTGGTTTTCTTGCAGACGTTTCATGACCTGACTAGGTGATAGCATCAGTACTAGAAGAGAGGGGGGTCTTGTGGTGAGGAGAATGGAGGAGGAGGAGGAGGAGCAGGAGAACTGTGGGGCCTTGGTGCTCTTTGAGCTTGGTGGTCTGCTTGCAGACATTTCATTACCCAACCAAGGGTGCAAGAAGGGAATGGGGTTGTGGACTAGAGAATAGGGAGGGAAGAGAAGGAGGAGGAGGAGGGGGTGGGGAGGGGAAGAGGGAGAGGACAACTGTGGGGTCCTTGGTGCTCCCTGAACTTGGCTGTTTTCTTCCAGATATTTTATGACCCAAACTAAGTAATATTTGTGGAGAGGAGGAGGAGGAGAAAAATTGTGAAATGTCAAGGTTCAACACTGGAGGTTTTTGAGAAGAGACTGGACAGCCATTTGTCTGAAATGGTGTAGGATTTCCTGCCTGAGCAGGGGATTGGACTAGATGACCTCCAAGATCCCTTCCAACTTTATTATTATTATTATTATTATTATTATTATTATCATCATCATCATCATCATCATCATCAGAAACAAGTAAATCAGAAATTTGGAGGCTAGCAAATTTCTCAAAAAACATATTTATTGTTACAGAGTATCGGCATAATCAAAAGTGAAACCAAGTCTGGAATATCAATAACAAACTCTCCATTACAAAGTATAAAGTTCCCACCCCCAAAACTATGCAATATACCATGTTCCCCCAATAAACGCAGTTCGCAGGCTTTTGTGCTCTACACCCCGGGCCTGGATGTGGGAGCAATAGAGGACCTTGGTTCCCACCGGACAGCAAATTTGAATTTCACCGAACATGCCTTGACTATCTGGCGTACTGGATTTTGGATGAGGGCATAGAGGTGGATCCTGCCAAAGTGAAGGCGATACTGGAATGGCCACTCCCACGCAGCGGAAAGCCGCTCCAAAGCTTTCTGTGGTTTGCTGACTTTTACCGGCAATTTATCCCCTCTTTGTCAAAAATAGCCATGTCAATCACTGATCTACTCAAAACAGAAAAAAGGGGGCGGGAACCTCGACCTTGTTGGCCATTGTAATGGTCGCTAGAACGCCGGACTGTGTTAAATTAAACCAAGCACCTGGGCAAATCCCCTTCCCTCCATTCCATGTGGCAATTTCAAATGAGGGGGGAAATGGCTGCAGTCAGGCTCATTTGCAAAGATAATAATAATAATAATAATAATAATAATAATAGTAGTAGTAGTAGTAGTAGTAGTAGTAGTAGTAGTAGTAGTAGTAGTAGTAGTAATGTTGGAAGGGAACTTGGAAGTCATCTAGTCCAACTCCCCCGCCCCAATATCCCCCTGAGACACTGGAAGACTGCTATCCTGTCCCCCCTTGTCCTTCTCTTCATTAGTCTAGACCATTGGTTCTCAACCTTTTTAATGCCGCGACCCCCCAACCGGTCATAAGTCGAGGACTACTCAACCGGTCATAAGTCGAGGACTACTCAACTGGTGCAGCACCGTTTGCAGAATGGGACTTTTGGCGGGCTCAGCAGGGCAGAGACAGCCTGGACAATTCCTATTGGCTTTTGAAAGCCAATAGAATTAGACTCTATTCAAGAGAGTCTATTCTATTGGTTTTCAAGAGCCAATAGAATAAAAGGGAGTAGCATAGCTAAGGAAAAGGGGGGAAAATGGTGGACTGCGTTGTTTGGTGACCCCCGTGAAATGGTCGTTCGACCCCAAATGGGGTCCCAACCCACAGGTTGAGAACCACTGGTCTAGACATACCCAGTTCCAGCAGCTGTTCCTTATATGCTTTAGCCTCCAGTCCCCTGATCATCTTTGTTGCTCTTCTCTGCACTTTTTCTAGAGTCTCAGCATCTTTTTTACATCGTGGTGACCAAAACTGGATGCAGTATTCCAAGTGTGGCCTTACCAAGGCCTTATAAAGTGATATTAACATTTCAGGTGATCTTGATTCTATCCCTCTGTTAATGCAGCCTAGCACTGTGTTGGCTTTTTTGGCAGCTGCAGCACACGGCTGGCTCATATTTAAGGGATTGTCCACTAGGACTCAGAGATCTGAGAGAGCTTGATTTTATTTATTAAAACCTTGGTGTTTTATTTCCTGGTGATCGCTTTCTTTTATATAACTGGAGTATACTCTTCTGGGAGATCGAAGATTGCATCATTGAACAAATATGCCCGGGATTCGTATTTTTACAACCATTAAGGATATATATTTGTTTATCTGCAAACAGCTTTGTAAGTGTTTTAGATTGGGAAATTAGTTATATAAAAGCAAATGTTTCCTGCTTTAGGTACAGGTGATTGTTTACATGAAAAGAGCACGGTAAGGGGAGGGCAGGAAAGGAGTTACGGATGGAGCCTGGGTTGCTGTGTATGAGTCATCATCTAGGAATTGTTTTGGGGTTTTTTTGTGCCATCTTATGCCTGGTACCATGACCTGATCTTTTTGTTCTGCAAAGGCATAAAAGGTGGAAGACATCTTTCCCGGCTGTTGCCTTCATCTGTCTACCAGCCACGAAGAGAGATGGGGTCGCCCAACTCTATTTTGATCAAAATAAAAGTTGTTTGCTTGCTGAAACCTCGGCTTAGGAGTTTCTTTGGCTCTTTTAAATTCCTGAGTAATGCTGGGACAATTCTGAGGCTAAGTGGAAAAACCTTAATTTTTTTTCTTTCTTTCCTTCTCACGCAATCAACGTGTATCAACTCTTGATCTCACCGGGTGGATCCTCGGTGTTCTGGGAACTTGGTTTGCATATTGCTCCCATTTCATGGCCATTCTTGCCATCCGTGCAGCAAGATTGGTCTATAAATAGGAAAGGTTGCTACACAGCAGCTTCTCCTACCTGCTTGGGGTATTTTTTTTATTCCTTGCTCCTTCATCTGTCCTTGCTCCTCCTTAACCAGGGTTGATTAATAGATGGGCAGTGAGGGGCACCCTGGGCTGATCAGTGTCCTCTGATGGCAGTCAGAAGACCCAATGGAAAATCCTTAAATTTCACAAGACAGAACTTCAACTGCCCTGGGAGATGGGTTTGGATGAGGCAAGGTTGGAGAATTCAGAAGTTCTTCCATAGCAATAAGCCTTACTGATACCAAATATTAAAATCAGCAGTCAAACAACAATTGCTTGGATTTGGCAAGGTTGCAATTCATCTGGTAGGGCTGCTCAGTTGAAGTCCCAATGTGGGGAATGGAAGCTGGGTTGAGTAAATCTGGCAATATTTGTAGCCCCGTGTTGAATTGTGGGGTCCTTGGTGCTCTCTCATTACACAACTAGCTAACCTCATCATTGCTAGAAGGGAGTGAGGTTTGTGGAGACGAGGAGGAGGAGGAGGAGGAGAAGGAGGAGGGAGAGGGAGAGGACTGTGGGGACTTGGATGCTCTCTGAGCTTGGTTGTTTTCTTGCAGATGTTTCATTACTCTAGGGAACAAGGGACTGGAACAGGACAACAGGGACCTGCCTAGCTTTCGCCAAACTGGCCAGCCAATCCAACTTTTGGAATTCCCCATCTCTTGTCCAACCGTCTTGTGAAAGAGGAAAGAATTCAAATTCTCACTGTATTACCTCATCCTGCTTCCTGGATCTGTAGGTGTGAAATTGCCACTGGGGAGAATAAGTAGAGCGAGCAGCCCAGGTGTGGGGCAAACAGCCATAATGTCTTCTGCTGCTGCTCAGACTCCTCACCCTCTGGGCAGAGCTGACCCCCGTCTCTGGCCAGGACCATCCAAGTGAGCTTCCAGAATGATCTTGAAATCCTTTGCTGGAAGGGGCTGACGTGATCAGAGTTCTCCCCCAGGAAGGGAAAACCAAGAACCCCAGTCTAGAACCTCTGGCTTGGTGGTGACTCTTCATGGAAGCTTCTTGAGATGGTAGTTGGGTGTCAGCTGAAGAGGAGACAGAAATGGGAGGAGGGAAAGAAAGAGAAATGCAGTTTCAGGGGAAGGCTGACCTGTCTCAATTCAATGCAACAGCAGAATCAGGATTTTAAGCAACAGGATCCATCATTCAGCCATCCGGTCCAAACCCCAGAGCAGGAAATCAAAGTAAAATGTTCTAGATGGCTCCCCATTGTTTGCAATCTGAGCGTGTTAGGAGGGCACCTGGTTGGGGAAGTGCGTTAAAGACTTTTTGCTAGCTAATAGATAATATTGGCCCCTTCATATTTCACAGAGTTTTGATATCTTCCTTCTGAAACGGGACCATGTAAAGCCAATGTTCAGGCCTTCTACTACAACTCGGCTTCAAACAATTGTGAACAGTTTACTTATGGTGGATGCCGCGGCAATGCCAATAATTTTGAGACCAAAAATAAATGTCACTACACCTGTGTTGGTAAGTAGGGAAGGAGCTGTGGACAGACTCTTCCAATATAAGATAATTTATGTTGCTCAAGGTTGAACTGTGGAGGTCCTTGGTGCTCTCTGAACTTGGTGGTTTTCTTGCAGATGTTTCATGACCCAACTAAGGAACATTGTCAGTACTAGAAGGGAGTGGAATTTGCGGGGAGGAGGAGGATAAGAAGGGGAGAAGGAGGAGGAGGAGGAGGAGGAGGAAGACTGTGGGGCATATTCTCATAGAATAGAATAGAATAGAATAGAATAGAATAGAATAGAATAGAATAGAATGGAATGGAATGGAATGGAATGGAATGGGATGGGATGGGATGGGATGGGATGGGATGGGATGGGATGGGATGGGATGGGATAGGATAGGATAGGATAGGATAGGATAGGATAGGATAGGATAGACCTGGAAGGGACCTTGGAGGTCTTATAGTCCAGCTCCGTGCTCAAGCAGGAGACGCTATACCAGCAGTAGGCCACCTTGGTTCTTTTATGACTTATGGACTTCAACTACCAGAATTCCTGAGCCAGCCATGCTGAGGGGAAAGGGAGAGGTTTCCAAGCTGAGCCATGCTGGCTGAGGAATTCTGGGAGTTGAAGTCCACCAGTCATAAAAGAACCAAGGTTGCCTACCCCTGACCTATACCATCTCAATCAGGTGATTGTCCAGTCTCTTTTTAAAAAACTCCAGCGATGGAATGCCCACAATTTTTGGAGGCAACTTCTATTCCACTGGTTGATTCTCCTCACTGTCAAGAAGTTTCTCTTGATCGTTTCCTTGCAGATGTCATGGACCTCTTCAGAGCGACTGTGTATGGGGTTTCCTCCCAGTTTATATACTGCACTTTGCCCTGGAAGTCTTGATCAGGGTGCTGTTTTCTTCTTGACAACTCCTTGATTGGGGAATTATTTTCTGTGTGGTTGTTTGTCCCTACTCATGTGCTTGTCGACATGGATACTCTACCCTCCCCTTTCTGGAAATATCAAAGAGCCATCTCTGTCTAAGTCCAGGTCTGTGTGCCGAGTGTCTCCGCTCAGAACTTCCACCCCACTTCCTGAAAGTCCTCTGCGTTTAGCCTAAGAACCTCAGGGTAACCTCCAGGAGACCCCAGGAAAGAGGAGGTCCAGAGGCAGAGTGCTATCTTTCCCCCTCTGTTTTGGGGGAAGGGGCTGCAGGTGTTGTGATTTTGTGCCAGTCTGTGATCCCAGTAGTTGAGTCTGGGGAATCAGAGGAGGAGGAGGAGGGGCCTGGAGAGCCATCAGAGTCAGAGGGAGGCTCTGATGAGTGCAGGACTTACAAACTAACGAAGAAGTTGGTCCTTCCACTCGTGATCAAGCTGAGAATCAGCTGTGCTGGGAAGCTGAGTCAGACTTGGAGGAAGCACAGCTGGAAGACCTCAGAGATGCTCGTAAATGTAGGCAGGTCACATGAGTAGGACAGAGGGAGGCAATGGGGCGACTCCAGGGGAGAAGGAGAAAGCAGTGAGAAGCTATGCCTTGGGGGCTGCATAACAAAAA